TTTTTTTTCTGTTATTGTCAATCAATGCATTTGGACCAATTTTTCAGTTTAGGAAAATAAGTATTTTCTTAATCTAAAATAATTAGATCGTTATAGTATAATCAGGCTATATTAAGTATAGTATACTACTCTGCATACTACAGTAGCATTTCTACAGTATGTATGTACTGTATACCACTATTCCTGTAGCATGTATGTGTAGACCTAACACATTTGCTAGCATATTTGGTATTCAGCAGAAAAACTGACTGGAACTTTAATTTCCAGTGATCAAATTTAATTGAAAATTATATTATGTCACTTATTATTTGATCAGGCTGACTTAAAATATTGTACACCAAAATTGGATTGAAAAAGTCATCACATTAAAAATGCAATAGCTTAATAAAAAGCCCAATAAAAATAAAAATCAATAAAAAATATTTGAGATGTTGAGGTAATTTGAGGTGTACACTAGTGTTCAAAGGTTTTAATTAATGTTTATTCAGCAAATATGCATTCAATTGACAGTGTAACATTTATAATGTTACAAAATATTTATATTTTAAATAAGTTCTATTTTTTTTACTTTCCATTCATCAAAAAAATCATGAAAAATGTATCACAGTTTCCACAAGAATATTAAAGAGCACAACTGTTTTCAATAAAAGTAATAACAAGAAATGTAATAATAAATCAGCATATTAGAATGATTTGTGAAGGATCATTTGACACTTACGACTGGAGTAATGATGCTGAAAATTCAGCTTTGCATCACTGGAATAAGTTATATTTTACATAAATTTACATTTTACATAACACTGAAATAGAAAACAGTTCTTTTAAATTCTAACAGTGTTTCACAATATTACAGTTTTTACTGTTTTTGATCAACTAATTGCAGCTTTGGTGAGCATAAGACGCATTAAAAAATATCACAAGCCCAACCTTTTGAACAGTAGTGTGTATAATATAAATTAATAATTAACATACAATTTGATGTCATGTGACATACTGTACATTTTGTATTCTAATGGTGTTAAAGCATCTATTGTTGCATATTGTGCACTGTTTAACATACAAAAAAAGTGCACAGTGTATACTGGGCATTATACAGTTATCAGTATGCTAGTGTTCTATTTTGTCTCTTTTTTACTTCCTAAACAGTTGTTTTTATCTCACAGGGGCCCTCTGGTGGAACTCCAGAATCTAAAGGAGAAAAAGTATGTTTACTAGTATATGTTTTCCTGCTATGACCACAAAGTGAAGAGGATGTTAAATGTGTTTTAATGAAAATGTACCATTAGCTTTTTTGTGTGTTCCTTGCAATGTTATATCTAATAATAGCAAAACATTCTCTCCATTTCTAGGGGGATTCTGGGATACATGGTGAAGACGGAAAGCCTGGAGAACCTGTAAGTGCATTTTTTTCTAATTTTGACCTATAGAGGGATGTCAATGTGAAATCATGACGTGTGCTGAATTGCTAAGACAGAAGATGCTAATTATCCTGATTGTCTATCACTCTCCTGATTGTTCTGTCACTGTAAGGGACAAAATGTGTTTACTATCATCAGCACCATAATTAGTTTTATTACCAATGGAGCTATCAGCACATAATTTGCATTTGCAACTCAATGAGCTTCTGCGCTTCTAATCTTCATGCATACCCAATGACTTGATGGTTTGTTTTGCTGACAGGGTCCGAGAGGTCCTTGGGGACCTAAAGGCGAGAAGGTAAGTCTAAGCAGTCTGAATTTCAGATTCTGCATGGAAATTACTGTTGCTTGTTATGAGTCTGCTCAGAATTCACAGAAAGTCACAGTACATATTCTTCATATTGCTTTCATTATTTTATTTTTAAAGGGACAGTTTCATTATTTACTTTATCTCATGTTGTTCTAAACCCAAATGACTTTCACCATAATATGAATGTCATTAACATTATTTATATACAATAGGGTTGGGTCCGAGTCGAGTCCTAGTTTTTGACCAGTTTTCAATTTTAGAAGAACAATACATTTAGTATGCTTTTTTTTTGTCTTCAGGGAGATCCATGTGAACCATGTCCAGTGGTGTCTTTTGACTCCACTGGCAACACTGTGGCCTTTCAGAGCAAGCAGGGGCCTAAAGGAGAACCAGGGGCCCCAGGCAAAGGAGAACAGGGTCCACCTGTGAGTTCATTCTCAAAACCAACGCCACAAACCACTTGTGTTTATCACAAAAAGCTAAAAACAGTTCAGCATTTTTGATTAAATGTCTCTGTGTAGCATCGTGAAACTGCTTTTATCTTCCAATACTCAAATCTGTGCCTGGTAGACACTTTATCATTGCAAAATATCCAGCTGACAATGCTGTTCACCTCAGTTGGCATGCCATATTTGTGTTTGCCAAGCTCAATGAAATAAGCCAACAATCAGCAAGGTATTTTTCGCCTGCTGTTGTTGTGTTGAATAAGAAATGCTGTCGCCATTCCACTACCCTCTCACAGGGAGAACAGATCTTCTATCGTGCTTCATTATAGCTTCAGGAACATTCAGGTCTCTCCTATCTTCCATGAAATCCATCAGCTTCCCCCCTCAAAGTTTAGACCACTTTCTGTGTCAGATTTAATTTTACTCAATGGCTACGGTAAAGGCCTTTCAATTTTTTAGCCTATTAAAATTTCTCCTCTCTCTTCTTCAGAGTAAGAGGGAAAAATTCGGACAGAAAAAGGATTCTGTCCAGCATACCATAAACCGCTTGTTTGCATTTCTCTGCAATGATTTCCAATACCATCACAATCTATTCCTCATACCTAGTTGTAGGACAGAGAGTGTGAGTGTGGGATGCAGAAAGTGACAGGGTGCAAATGCGGGATATTTACAGTGGAGAAGTTGCGGTCAGCTAGGATGATATTAGTGTCATGATTAGGGAGACCGATGCTGATACGTGTATGCCTCTATTTACATAGGGCCCTACTGGACTGGATGGCAAAGCAGGACATAAGGTAAGTTTTTGCTCTTTTCTTACCTTTTCTTACTGCATAGAAGCACACAAACACACACATATGTAAAAATATTAATATCTACAATACAACATAGTAGCACAAGGTGGGATATTATAAAAATACAGTGAATTAAATGGCTAATAAACTGGGCATTTACCAGTCAATATATCTGCTGGATGAAAAAATAAACTACTTTAACATCATGAAGGCGGCTTTTCCATAAATTTTACTCACATTTTCTTTCCTCAGATTTTAAAATGTGTGTGTAGTTCTTTTTATCATCTTATTGCATTCCTCTGAGGTCCACTTATAATGTTAATCAGGATTCCTTGCACTAAAAGTAGTCATAATTTAGCTTACATTACCATTTTCCACCCTTTCTCTGACCCTTAGAATTAATTGGCCTGTTTTTGCTACTGTGCATTTCAGACTTAAGTGTAAATACCCCTCTTTGCATGAGAAATTAGAAACAACACTACAGACTATTAGTATGTATCCAACTTCCTCCTCATTATTTTATTACTGGCCAGGCCAGGACACTGAATATCTGTCATTGAGATGTGCATGTGGCCGTAATGTGTTCATGCATTCATCTTTGTTACATCACAAACTACTGTAATGACCAATTTTTGCCACTTAGTTTTCAGTTTGTTTTGTTTTTGGAAAGAGGAGAGTTTTGAGTTTACAATATGATGCAACAATGTTTGCATTTTATTTATTTATTTATTTTAATCAAGCAATACTTAATATGATAAAAAGCTAAATGTAAAAATAAATAAAAACCATGGACCGTTTTTAACTTATTTTGGACAAGGCACTGGAAAGTTAATTTTTTTATTTGCCCTATTTTTAGTCTTTATCTGGGAAACCATTAACCAATCCAAAATACACAATATGACCACACATATACACAGACACAATGAAATAGGCTTTCAATTTAATGTTAATAGCTGCTTCCTGTTGCAAAGCTTTTTCTTAAAAGTCAGTGTTGTGACAACTACAGCACATTGCGGTTTATTCCAGGCTAAACTACCGCCTGCATTTTTTTTTTGAAATTCAAGAGTGCTGAGTCACTGAAAATGTCATCCAGAGTTTGAGCCATTTTTACAAACTCTCTTGCACATTGTGATTCTTTCACAGGGAGAGCCAGGAGTAGACGGGGCCAAAGGCGAAAAGGTGAGCCTGCCAGGCGTTGGCAAGAAAGATGAAGAATCTGTTCACTGTTTGTGAATTGCTTGACACTTGGAGAAGTTCTGAAGCAAAATTAAGCTGCAAAGTCTTGCCATCTTTGTTCTCTTAGGGTGAACTATGTTCTGGCTGCCCTAGCATTGGAGAAATGCCAGCGGGCATTTTGAATCCAGCTCAAAAGGGAGAGAAAGGAGATCCAGGTGCTGGACAGAAAGGAGAGCAGGTGAATGTGATGGAGTGATTGCTCATTAACATCCAGCACACAGCCTTTAAAAAACTTCCCACAAGTCCTGAAGTGCAGTAAATTACAATGCAAGCAGTTTTTGATATCCACTTCTGTGGTTGTGTATGAGTGTGTGGGATGCATATATTGGCTTAAGCATAATCGCAGACAGCCCTGATCTGTGTAGCTCCTCACAGATATAAGCATCAGCGCAGATATAAGCCTCAGGCACAAATGCTTTAAAAAAATTATTGTAACATAACAGATTGGGGAATTAATCAGCCAAGGCTTTCATTTCATGTCTGTTAAGCAAAAGAATATGCGCTGATATTCTCTGCTTTTCTTTTTATTTTCTTTCTTTTTACTTGATTTTCATGTACAGGGAGAACCAGGTCCAAGTGGCTTTGCTGGACTAAAAGGGGAAAAGGTAAACCTAATACATATGTATTCACTAGGATGCTGAATTTCTACATTTTCGAATGGTTTTAAGGTTGTTAAACAGTATTATAGATAGGTACACATGCACATGCAGTGACCCCGAAAAGTATTTGGACACTTAAATGTGTGGATGTCATTATTTTAAGTAATTCAAACAAAGCATTTCACAAAAATAAGTTGGTTGTCAGATTTAGTGGAACATCGCTGTACTTAATGTGATGAACTACATTACTACTGTACTCTCTAGGGCACCTGTGTGGAGAGAAACTGACTTCCTACATCCATTAAAAATGGCCTTGGGCTAAAAGTTAGTTCTGAGAAAAGTTAAGAGGTTTTTTTTATTTTTTATTTTTCCAGTGCATTGATATTCATATGCTTAAATGTGGCTTATGTGTCCAAATACTTTTTTGTAGACACTGTGCATGTCTATAGTGTATGGTAATTATCAAAGAGAAAAAATCTTTATCACAGAACATGTTTTGCGTTCTATTGCATTATAAAATAATGTAGTCATTTAAGAAACTATGCACAATTTTCTGAAGTTGCTTGTCTCACATTTGACACTCTGTTTGGTTATAGGGTAATGCAGGCAGCAAAGGAAATGAGGGGAAAACTGTAAGTAACCTTTTTTTAATTCTTATATAAATCTTTTTGTTTTTAACTTGCATCTGTGATTTATGACTGACCTCAGCATTAGATTAATGTGCAGATGCTGATGTTTTTTAGGGAAAACCTGGTCCAAAAGGTTCAAGTGGAAATAAAGGAGAGAAGGTGATTAAGCTCAACTCAGACTTTGGTACTCTGCATTAATTTTAAAGTGTTTAGATTGCAGCCTCACAGCACCAGGAGACATAAATAAATTATATATATATATATTTTATATAATTATAATATATAAATGTAGAAATTGCCAAAAAAGACAGAAATACTGTCTAGCTTAGTTTAGTGTAAACTGCCAGGAAACATAAAGGTTTCTGAAGGATCATGTGACACTGAATACTGTAGTAATGGCTGCTGAAAATTCAGCTTTGCCATCGGAGAAATAAACTACATTTAACAATGATTCAGATAGAAAATAGTTATTTAAAATTGTAATAATAAATTTGAGATTTTACTGTTTTTACTGTATTTTTCATCAAACAAATGTAGCCTTGATTTCAAAAACATTACAAAATCTTACAGATTTTATATATATATATATATGTATGTATGTATATATAACAGATATTCTGAAATTCATGTTTACTTTTCAGTTCAACTTATCACTCAGTTCAAGTTATCATTTATCACTCAAGGTTTTTTTTTTTTTTGTAGAAAATGCATTAAACTAACTGCATTTTTACTTGTGGTGTAATTTTTTTACAGGGTGATTCTGGACAACCCGGTATAGAGACACCTGGTCCAAAAGGTGAAAAGGTAAGTGAATGTTTTTACACAATGATTTTCTCTCCTTCAATACAAGTGCATTGTGGATGTGTTTACGTGGGACAAAAACAACATGTGCCTTGTATTTAAGGGAGACTCATGTGGCGTGTGCCAAACCACTACCTCTGAGGTGGGAAGTGGCCTATCTATGATAAAGGTCACAGGGGAACGTGGCCCTCCAGGTCCACCAGGAGAAGCAGTTGAAGGCAAACAGGTAAGCCTGACTATTTTATGATCGCTTTATATTGGAGGAGGCAAGGGTGGTGTGTTGCTTCTAGTGTATCAGCGAATACATTTTTAATTTGAGAAGCCCAGAACACACTGACCCTGTTTTCAAAATGGATGTTTCAACAGGGGCCACCAGGTCTGCAAGGTTTCGAAGGAGAGAAAGTAAGTTAATTATTTTTTAAAGCTGTGCATATAATAATATGTTCACAGTATAGGGGATTTTTCTTAGCATTAAATATAATTTTTATGTGCGTAGGGTGATCAGGGTTTACAGGGAGTCCCAGGTGTGGATGGGGCAGCTGGACCCACAGGACCTCAAGGAGAACCAGGCAGGAATGGCCTTAATGGAAAAAAAGGAGAAAAGGTCATTGTCACATAACATTGATCATGCGGTCACATATTAATTGCATTGCCGTAAATTATGCGCCATCACTGGATATTTTAATTATCATTCATCATGTTGATATAATACATTACACCATTTATATGACTGTGTATAAATTTGAAGGCAAAAAAATACCAGATTAAGCATGGTTGACCATCTGGAATTCTCCTCCCTTGCAATTTAAAAGCTTTCTGTCTTTTTTTATTGCATCTGTGTCTGCATCGCCAGGGAGACGCGTGTGACAGCTGTCCATCACTCCCTGAAGGAAATTACAATGTTGCTGGCTTACCAGGGCCCAAGGGAGAGAGAGGAGAGCCAGGTTTGCCAGGGGAGGGCAGAGCAGGCAAACAGGTGCGAGTTTTTCTGTACAAATGCATGCTTTCGCAATGAATTAGTGGGGTTTTGTATGACTATTGCACATACATAGAGTATCTCATGTTGTTCTAAACCCAAATGACTTTCACCATAATATGAATGTCATTAACATTATTTATATACAATAGGGTTGGGTCCGAGTCGAGTCCTAGTTTTTGACCAGTTTTCAATTTTAGAAGAACAATACATTTAGTATGCTTTTTTTTTGTCTTCAGGGAGATCCATGTGAACCATGTCCAGTGGTGTCTTTTGACTCCACTGGCAACACTGTGGCCTTTCAGAGCAAGCAGGGGCCTAAAGGAGAACCAGGGGCCCCAGGCAAAGGAGAACAGGGTCCACCTGTGAGTTCATTCTCAAAACCAACGCCACAAACCACTTGTGTTTATCACAAAAAGCTAAAAACAGTTCAGCATTTTTGATTAAATGTCTCTGTGTAGCATCGTGAAACTGCTTTTATCTTCCAATACTCAAATCTGTGCCTGGTAGACACTTTATCATTGCAAAATATCCAGCTGACAATGCTGTTCACCTCAGTTGGCATGCCATATTTGTGTTTGCCAAGCTCAATGAAATAAGCCAACAATCAGCAAGGTATTTTTCGCCTGCTGTTGTTGTGTTGAATAAGAAATGCTGTCGCCATTCCACTACCCTCTCACAGGGAGAACAGATCTTCTATCGTGCTTCATTATAGCTTCAGGAACATTCAGGTCTCTCCTATCTTCCATGAAATCCATCAGCTTCCCCCCTCAAAGTTTAGACCACTTTCTGTGTCAGATTTAATTTTACTCAATGGCTACGGTAAAGGCCTTTCAATTTTTTAGCCTATTAAAATTTCTCCTCTCTCTTCTTCAGAGTAAGAGGGAAAAATTCGGACAGAAAAAGGATTCTGTCCAGCATACCATAAACCGCTTGTTTGCATTTCTCTGCAATGATTTCCAATACCATCACAATCTATTCCTCATACCTAGTTGTAGGACAGAGAGTGTGAGTGTGGGATGCAGAAAGTGACAGGGTGCAAATGCGGGATATTTACAGTGGAGAAGTTGCGGTCAGCTAGGATGATATTAGTGTCATGATTAGGGAGACCGATGCTGATACGTGTATGCCTCTATTTACATAGGGCCCTACTGGACTGGATGGCAAAGCAGGACATAAGGTAAGTTTTTGCTCTTTTCTTACCTTTTCTTACTGCATAGAAGCACACAAACACACACATATGTAAAAATATTAATATCTACAATACAACATAGTAGCACAAGGTGGGATATTATAAAAATACAGTGAATTAAATGGCTAATAAACTGGGCATTTACCAGTCAATATATCTGCTGGATGAAAAAATAAACTACTTTAACATCATGAAGGCGGCTTTTCCATAAATTTTACTCACATTTTCTTTCCTCAGATTTTAAAATGTGTGTGTAGTTCTTTTTATCATCTTATTGCATTCCTCTGAGGTCCACTTATAATGTTAATCAGGATTCCTTGCACTAAAAGTAGTCATAATTTAGCTTACATTACCATTTTCCACCCTTTCTCTGACCCTTAGAATTAATTGGCCTGTTTTTGCTACTGTGCATTTCAGACTTAAGTGTAAATACCCCTCTTTGCATGAGAAATTAGAAACAACACTACAGACTATTAGTATGTATCCAACTTCCTCCTCATTATTTTATTACTGGCCAGGCCAGGACACTGAATATCTGTCATTGAGATGTGCATGTGGCCGTAATGTGTTCATGCATTCATCTTTGTTACATCACAAACTACTGTAATGACCAATTTTTGCCACTTAGTTTTCAGTTTGTTTTGTTTTTGGAAAGAGGAGAGTTTTGAGTTTACAATATGATGCAACAATGTTTGCATTTTATTTATTTATTTATTTTAATCAAGCAATACTTAATATGATAAAAAGCTAAATGTAAAAATAAATAAAAACCATGGACCGTTTTTAACTTATTTTGGACAAGGCACTGGAAAGTTAATTTTTTTATTTGCCCTATTTTTAGTCTTTATCTGGGAAACCATTAACCAATCCAAAATACACAATATGACCACACATATACACAGACACAATGAAATAGGCTTTCAATTTAATGTTAATAGCTGCTTCCTGTTGCAAAGCTTTTTCTTAAAAGTCAGTGTTGTGACAACTACAGCACATTGCGGTTTATTCCAGGCTAAACTACCGCCTGCATTTTTTTTTTGAAATTCAAGAGTGCTGAGTCACTGAAAATGTCATCCAGAGTTTGAGCCATTTTTACAAACTCTCTTGCACATTGTGATTCTTTCACAGGGAGAGCCAGGAGTAGACGGGGCCAAAGGCGAAAAGGTGAGCCTGCCAGGCGTTGGCAAGAAAGATGAAGAATCTGTTCACTGTTTGTGAATTGCTTGACACTTGGAGAAGTTCTGAAGCAAAATTAAGCTGCAAAGTCTTGCCATCTTTGTTCTCTTAGGGTGAACTATGTTCTGGCTGCCCTAGCATTGGAGAAATGCCAGCGGGCATTTTGAATCCAGCTCAAAAGGGAGAGAAAGGAGATCCAGGTGCTGGACAGAAAGGAGAGCAGGTGAATGTGATGGAGTGATTGCTCATTAACATCCAGCACACAGCCTTTAAAAAACTTCCCACAAGTCCTGAAGTGCAGTAAATTACAATGCAAGCAGTTTTTGATATCCACTTCTGTGGTTGTGTATGAGTGTGTGGGATGCATATATTGGCTTAAGCATAATCGCAGACAGCCCTGATCTGTGTAGCTCCTCACAGATATAAGCATCAGCGCAGATATAAGCCTCAGGCACAAATGCTTTAAAAAAATTATTGTAACATAACAGATTGGGGAATTAATCAGCCAAGGCTTTCATTTCATGTCTGTTAAGCAAAAGAATATGCGCTGATATTCTCTGCTTTTCTTTTTATTTTCTTTCTTTTTACTTGATTTTCATGTACAGGGAGAACCAGGTCCAAGTGGCTTTGCTGGACTAAAAGGGGAAAAGGTAAACCTAATACATATGTATTCACTAGGATGCTGAATTTCTACATTTTCGAATGGTTTTAAGGTTGTTAAACAGTATTATAGATAGGTACACATGCACATGCAGTGACCCCGAAAAGTATTTGGACACTTAAATGTGTGGATGTCATTATTTTAAGTAATTCAAACAAAGCATTTCACAAAAATAAGTTGGTTGTCAGATTTAGTGGAACATCGCTGTACTTAATGTGATGAACTACATTACTACTGTACTCTCTAGGGCACCTGTGTGGAGAGAAACTGACTTCCTACATCCATTAAAAATGGCCTTGGGCTAAAAGTTAGTTCTGAGAAAAGTTAAGAGGTTTTTTTTATTTTTTATTTTTCCAGTGCATTGATATTCATATGCTTAAATGTGGCTTATGTGTCCAAATACTTTTTTGTAGACACTGTGCATGTCTATAGTGTATGGTAATTATCAAAGAGAAAAAATCTTTATCACAGAACATGTTTTGCGTTCTATTGCATTATAAAATAATGTAGTCATTTAAGAAACTATGCACAATTTTCTGAAGTTGCTTGTCTCACATTTGACACTCTGTTTGGTTATAGGGTAATGCAGGCAGCAAAGGAAATGAGGGGAAAACTGTAAGTAACCTTTTTTTAATTCTTATATAAATCTTTTTGTTTTTAACTTGCATCTGTGATTTATGACTGACCTCAGCATTAGATTAATGTGCAGATGCTGATGTTTTTTAGGGAAAACCTGGTCCAAAAGGTTCAAGTGGAAATAAAGGAGAGAAGGTGATTAAGCTCAACTCAGACTTTGGTACTCTGCATTAATTTTAAAGTGTTTAGATTGCAGCCTCACAGCACCAGGAGACATAAATAAATTATATATATATATATTTTATATAATTATAATATATAAATGTAGAAATTGCCAAAAAAGACAGAAATACTGTCTAGCTTAGTTTAGTGTAAACTGCCAGGAAACATAAAGGTTTCTGAAGGATCATGTGACACTGAATACTGTAGTAATGGCTGCTGAAAATTCAGCTTTGCCATCGGAGAAATAAACTACATTTAACAATGATTCAGATAGAAAATAGTTATTTAAAATTGTAATAATAAATTTGAGATTTTACTGTTTTTACTGTATTTTTCATCAAACAAATGTAGCCTTGATTTCAAAAACATTACAAAATCTTACAGATTTTATATATATATATATATGTATGTATGTATATATAACAGATATTCTGAAATTCATGTTTACTTTTCAGTTCAACTTATCACTCAGTTCAAGTTATCATTTATCACTCAAGGTTTTTTTTTTTTTTGTAGAAAATGCATTAAACTAACTGCATTTTTACTTGTGGTGTAATTTTTTTACAGGGTGATTCTGGACAACCCGGTATAGAGACACCTGGTCCAAAAGGTGAAAAGGTAAGTGAATGTTTTTACACAATGATTTTCTCTCCTTCAATACAAGTGCATTGTGGATGTGTTTACGTGGGACAAAAACAACATGTGCCTTGTATTTAAGGGAGACTCATGTGGCGTGTGCCAAACCACTACCTCTGAGGTGGGAAGTGGCCTATCTATGATAAAGGTCACAGGGGAACGTGGCCCTCCAGGTCCACCAGGAGAAGCAGTTGAAGGCAAACAGGTAAGCCTGACTATTTTATGATCGCTTTATATTGGAGGAGGCAAGGGTGGTGTGTTGCTTCTAGTGTATCAGCGAATACATTTTTAATTTGAGAAGCCCAGAACACACTGACCCTGTTTTCAAAATGGATGTTTCAACAGGGGCCACCAGGTCTGCAAGGTTTCGAAGGAGAGAAAGTAAGTTAATTATTTTTTAAAGCTGTGCATATAATAATATGTTCACAGTATAGGGGATTTTTCTTAGCATTAAATATAATTTTTATGTGCGTAGGGTGATCAGGGTTTACAGGGAGACCCAGGTGTGGATGGGGCAGCTGGACCCACAGGACCTCAAGGAGAACCAGGCAGGAATGGCCTTAATGGAATAAAAGGAGAAAAGGTCATTGTCACATAACATTGATCATGCGGTCACATATTAATTGCATTGCCGTAAATTATGTGCCATCACTGGATATTTTAATTATCATTCATCATGTTGATATAATACATTACACCATTTATATGACTGTGTATAAATTTGAAGGCAAAAAAATACCAGATTAAGCATGGTTGACCATCTGGAATTCTCCTCCCTTGCAATTTAAAAGCTTTCTGTCTTTTTTTATTGCATCTGTGTCTGCATCGCCAGGGAGACGCGTGTGACAGCTGTCCATCACTCCCTGAAGGAAATTACAATGTTGCTGGCTTACCAGGGCCCAAGGGAGAGAGAGGAGAGCCAGGTTTGCCAGGGGAGGGCAGAGCAGGCAAACAGGTGCGAGTTTTTCTGTACAAATGCATGCTTTCGCAATGAATTAGTGGGGTTTTGTATGACTATTGCACATACATAGAGTTAGACATCTCAAATAAAAAGCCTAACTTAGGAGCACACAATCTGTGCTACATATATGACTGATACTTTAAGTCATGCAGCTTGTTGAGGAGGGGTCCACATTTCTAAGCAACTGAACTTGCGATTTTGGCCTAGCAGATGATAAAAAGAGCAAAATAAAAAAAAAACCTTTTAACTTCTGTGATTTAATATTGATAGTACTTAGTTAAGATGCCATTAAACAAATATGTGTGATTAATAGGGTCATAATGATACATTGATACAGATCAATACATCGATCAAATGACTAACAATATGGATGTTCAATTAAATATTCTTGTTACATTTTGTTTCCATTTGTGAGTTTTTAAAATGTAACTGGTTAAAATAGGCACATAATAAAATAATATCAATATATAAATTATATTAATCAAATCATAATTGTATTGCGGCAGGTTTTGAGGTATCAGCAAGTAATGTAAGAGAATCAATGTTATATTGTATCGTGATAAAATAGCTGATGTATACCCCTAGTGATTAATTTGTTTTTTTTGTTTGTTTTTTTGTGCAGCAGCCCTGAAAAAATGGCATGTCTGGACTCTTTCTTTATTATCTTTATTCTATAGGGTCGGCCAGGCCCACCTGGTGTCCAGGGACCTCCAGGGCTCAAAGGCAGTCAGGTAAAGTTACACACCTGACTAATGTGCATACATCAGTCACATCTGTGTGTGAGAGTTATAAGATTGACTGTGGAGTGATGCTCATGTTTATTTATTATAAGGGTGATGCTGGGCTTCCAGGTATTGGCCTTCCAGGACTGCAGGTGAATGAACAGTTATTGTAATCACTCAGAAAAACTGTTTTAATTTATACCATTTTTAGAGAAATGTGCAGGTCTCAGTTGCATTTAAATAGTTCCTTTAATGTACCAGCTCTTTGTAATGTTTTGATGTTCTCACTCAGGGTGAGCAGGGACCTAGAGGTTTTCCCGGAGCTGCTGTAAGTGCACAAAAAGTATTGTGTTCTTGGGTGTTCACACATGGATTTGGGCCTTTGAGTGTGCAAATTTGCAGATGTTGTTCTCTTTGAATTTTCTATTTTTGCATGTTATCTGATACATACACTACTGTTCACAAGTTGAAATCGGTACAATTTTTTAAATGTTTTTGAAGTTTATTATGCTCACCAAGGCTGCATTTGATTAATTAAAAATACAGTAAAAACAGTAAAGTTGTGTAATATTATTAGAATTTAAAATAACTGTTTTATATTTGAATATATTTTTCAAATGTAATTTTTTCCTATTATGGCAAAGCTGAATGTTCAGCATCGTTACTCCAGTCTTCAGTGTCACATGATCCTTCAGAAATCATTCTAATATGCTAATTTGCTGCTCAAGAAACATTTCTTATTATTATCAATGTTGAAAACAGTTGTGCTGCCTAATCTTTTTGTGGAAACGATGATACATTTTTCAGGCTTTTTTAATGAATAGAAAGTTCAAAAGAACAGTATTTATTTGTAATAGAAATCTTAATACATTATAAATGTCTTTACTCTCACTTTTCATCAATTTATTGCATCCTTGCTGATTAAAAGTATAATTTTCTTAAAAAAAAAAATACATTTTTTAGTAGCCCTGAAACTTTTGAACAGTAGTGTATGAGTCACAATAATAAATAAAACAGCCCTTTTAATAAGCACCACATGTGGAAACCAAGTGTAAAAACAATCATGTGTGTCCTACAGGGTCCAGAAGGACGTCTGGGACCTGCAGGGCCGATTGGACCAGCAGGACAAAGGGTAGATCACCAACGCAGTGACACAGTACTCTTCAGGCCAAAAGACACTCTGGATCTGACCTCACTGCTGTCCTAATGTATTGCTTGATATCAATAGGGTCCAAAGGGAGAAATGGGACCACCAGGGCCACAGGGGCCAATGGAAATGGGACCAATCGGACCCCCGGTAAGAACTTGAGATACAGTAAAACATGCACCAAAAGATTTTCCCCAGCAAATGATGCAGCCATTTTTTATGTTCAGGCTCTCGTCATTATATTTAATATCTGAATGCCATTATGGATGTTATTATCTGTTTTGCATAATACAGTGGGTATAGCAAAGAATCACCCCCCTTTAAAATAATCACATTTTGTTGCTTTGCAGCCTGAAATGAAGACAGATTTTTGTTTTGTTTTATCCAGCTGTATTTACTCAGGGCATCTTATACCATCCAAGTGAAATAATGCAAGATAAGCACATATTTCATGTTAAGTATGCTGTTTCACATCATAGGAAATAGGGAGTGGGATGAGATACAGCCAGTGTTATTTTATTTGTCTTGCAATTTTAAATGATTTATATAATCTGTGTCACAGGGTAGGGATGGAACACAAGGATTTCCTGGAATACCAGGGCAGGATGGGAGTCCTGTAAGTTTGTTTGTTTGTTTAATCCTCTCCAGCAATTCTTTGCTTAACTCCTCTTGCTTATTCCCATATTGTGACACACGCTCTGTGATTAACACATTCACCAAGCATATTGTCCGTTGTTCATTACTCTGCCATCTAGAGACGGCATCAAACGAACTTCCATAAACTGCAGAGACAAAGGCAGCGAGAGTGTGTTGTCTTGCCAGAGCTTGTCTCATTAAAAAAGCAAAGTTAGCATTGTCTGTTCTCACATCAGATGTTAATTACCTGGGGCTTTGTCGCAGAGAGCTTAAGGAGCGAATCCAGAGACAGACTCGGGTCATATTCGACTCTGCCTGGATCCCTAACAGCAACACATTGTCTGCTTGCATCACATCACCTGCCACTGCTCCTCCCCGATCCACACTCATCTAGCTGGCCCTGGAGAGTTACACACAATAGCACTATCTAATTGGCTACTTTCCCTCTGCCCCGCTGGAGAAGGAGGTGTCCAGATTGTAGTCACAAGCTAAACCAATTCAACCTCAGTTCCTTCTTACAGGGTCTCCCTGGCAACGATGGCATACCAGGGAAACCGGGTCCAGCCGGCCAAGCAGTGAGTAACCAGACAGGGGGAGGAGCTTTTATTACAGTATATAAACACAGAGCAAGGAGCCTGGTTGGTCGACTTCTGCGTTAGAGGGGGAGCGGGTTGGGCCTCCTTTAAAGCGGTGCAGGGAGACAGAGCTCACTAGAGGTGATTCACGAAGACAACAGCAGCTTTTTTATAATACGAAAAGGATCCAGTAAGCATTTGTAAAGATCTTAACTCGGCACTCCATGAGGCGTCTCTGCTGCAGTATGTCCTTTATGGCCACCGAAGGTCCCATTACCCTTCCAGAGTTAACTCACAGTCTCCGAGGCTTTGTGTAATGATAAACACTGCCATTGTGTTGAGTTACGGTTAGGGCGGCCATTACTGTGAGTGATGTTCCATACAGAAAGAGCCATTAGATCTTTGGTTGAAAGCAGGATTTCGGCATTAATGGCCCTGTCTCTCCGCACACATATTTGCCCATCCTGAAATCAGAGCTCCAGGCTTCCAGCCTGCAGCGGATATTTGGCCAGACTTCTGTCCCGGCCCGCTTTGCTCCACTTCTATCAGCAGACTCAGACCACCGAGTTCCTCCAGAGCACAATCAGATTTAAACCATGTTATTCATTTAACTCTCATTCGCACAACCTTTGAGTAACAGACCCCGCAAACAACTTAATCCCAAAGCTAGTTCATTAATATACAAATTAATTCTGTTCTATAGAGCCAAAAACACTAAATAGTTCAATTAAATAAGAGTAACGAATAATATTAGGAATTCAAATGGTTCTTTTAAAAAAACTAAAAAGGTGACAATTACCATATTAAAACCATAATTACAGTAGATTAACTGGATGGCATAAGATGTCATTATATGCGTGGTCCTGCAATGAAACCACTTTACTGAGCTGTGGAGAGCCCAAACCAGCCAGTAGTGAGAGGAGATCTACATGCTGGATGCTCATAGCACCTTCAAGAGCATCTGAGAGCCACTCTCATATTCGGTCAAGTTCTCTGGTTTAACTGTAGTTAGAGGAATATTTCAGTCTTCTATACAAAAAAGGGCCATGTGGGCCAAGTTTTTTTAAACGCTTCAAAATACTCTGGGGATTCATTACATATAGTATTCAATATACGTTTGAAGTACATTGTGGGTGTTGCACAATGAAGATTTGTTTTTTTGTCCTTCTGAAAGTCTTTTGTGCTCTGAAACTAATGCTTTGTAAAGAAGGATGTGAAACTTCTTATCCATGCTGTAAATGGCCAATATAGTAGCACAATATTTTTTTTTACCATAATTAATTATATTTTCATTTACATGTTTATGGATGCAATTAGTCAGTAAACTGTTTTGAAATGACAGCATAATAAATAATTGTAGCATAATGTGAAATAATTTATCACGTTAAATTCAGCTCCGATTTTTTTTCTGAATAATTTCATGCAAAATAGTTCCATTATTAAAATGAGATTTTTGTTATTAATAATAATGAGTTCATAACTTTACTTCCTGAGCAATGCTTTTAAAAATAACCTTTTAGAGTACTGCATTGCCTTGGTCTCACCATAGTCACTTTCTTCTGAACTTCTGATGATTATTGCACATTCATTTGTTGTGAAATGTAAAAGTGTTTTTGATGCAGTCACCATGGCTGACTGTCTCCTCCATCTTGCAGCCTCCTGTTTTGATGCCTCAGGATTCAGCTTCCACAGGCAATGTAAGCGAACAGTCTACCCCACATGCTAACTTATCTGTATTAACTGCACATGTTCAACTTATCTCTCTCTCTATGACATTATTAGTATGCATGTGCAAGGAAACACTGGTATTATCTGGTAATATAATGTGTACAGAAACATACACATTAGCATAGTTGGTGTGGTGTGAATAGATGTTATTTTTTCATTCTGCCCCCAAAGTAGTACACATACAACAGCAAGACATCTATGCAATGCATGCATTTTCATTTGGATGATGGAATTTTTAGTGCAGGGGGCTTCAACCTTTTTGAGACCCTGGACCCCATGGTGGATAGAGAGATGAAGCAGGGTACCCCTGTTACATATTGCATAAAATCGAGTGCTGCATTTTAAGCCTGGCATATCTCATACATATACAACCATGTCAATGTATACATAGTTTGTGATTCTTACATAGCGAAGCTATTAATCTGTATTTATTTATTTAAACTACCATTCAAATGTTTGGGATTGATAAGATTTTTTTAGTCTCCTATGATGATCAAGGTTGTATTTATTTTATCAAATATATTTATATATACTGTATATACATATATTTGATATGTATGCATTTATTTGATCAAATAAATGCATACATTTATTCAGCCCCTCCTCACACGCGTGAGTGTGTTTCCCATGAGGTGTTCCGGACATGCTGGCAGTCAGGCTCTGATATCACTTTCTCCTGACCGGAATTGTCGGCATTCCCTGTTGAGACTTTTCCATCTTTTTCCCACAGTGAACACGCACACTTCTTAATGACAAATGTGTGCTGTCCAGGCAGAAGAATACATTTATTTTGCAAACCCCATTTATTTTTTTTTATTTTTTTTTACTTTGAAACCTTGTACATTCTTTGAGCCGGGGTTATTTGGATTCTTTAATTCCTGTTCTATCAAACTGTAATGTGAGAGTATAGTTTTTACTGTTAACAAAATATCCTGTGTTTGAATTTCATGAATCTTTTTCAGTCTGTCTGTACCTTCTTACTCTTCAATGCAGCACTACTATTCACTTGTATTTGCATGCAGGCGCTGTGTTTTTATTGTTAATTTGTTCATGCAGTGAGTACACGTATGTTTATGTCATGTGTATGCATCACTGTAGGAGAGCTGTGGCGAATGCTCCAAGGGTCTACCAGGTGTGCCTGGCATGGTTGGCGCTAAGGGCGAGAAGGGAGATCAGGGCAAGCCTGGCGCTGAACACGTAGATGGATGTGAACGGGTGAGAGGGATGAATGATGGATGGTTGGTATTAAACAGACAAGGGTGTGGGTAACATTGATTTGTTTGTTTGCTGTTGTTTTAAGCTTTCTGTTTGGCATGCCATTGATTTCTACAGTAGTTTTGCTCATGCTCATAAACATACAGTACTAAACCTATCTCTATGATCACCTTTACAGTGTATAGAGAAGCTGCAGAGAGAAGAAACACCAAGTGGGCCTGTAAGTCTGTGGACCGATTGATTAATACTCTTTTTACACTCACATAAAACAATGATAGGGAAGCTTCCCAAGCTACAAGCTACTCATAATGTTAATTTCAATTTAATGAAACCTCAATTATGATGACAGAATTAAAAATACAAATAAGTTTAATGAATTTAACTAAATATATTACATAAAAATGATACAGGGCATTATACAAAGGTTCTTAGTGAATCAGTGAATCGTTTTAAAATGGTCCATTTACACGAATGTTCAAACAAACCAATTCACTAAAATGAATTGGAACACTACATAGCTGAGTAAATCACACTCTTCTTCTACTCATTGGGAAAAGGTAGCTTGTTACTGGAAAATATATACTATTATGAAAGCAGCTGAGCTGCTGTCGCATTATTGAAAATTGTAATCTACTGTTCCATTGTTCTGATCACTTAAAGTCATTATTTGTTTCTCTTCAAATTGTGCACGCATTTCTTGATTGTAACCCTTCATGTCTGCTCAATGTTTTTAGACGAGTAACAGTGTTCAGTGCGTTGGTGCACCAGGGATGCCCGGATTCCCAGGGACCGCAGGGGTGAAAGGAGAGCCGGTGAGAGATCCTGTCGAGTTTCATTACTATCAGTGCCTATTGGAGAGGATACAAGAGCTCTGCTTTATCCTAACTGTTGCGAATCTAACAACACAATATTTTAATATTAAAAGCAAATATATATAAATATATATAGCACACTCCAATTATATTATTCTGTCCCCAATTCTCTCCCAGATTTGTGTTATCAGAGGCTTAGGAATAATATGAAAAGGTGGGGGACATTTATAATCCTTATCATCTTGGCTCATGAATATTAATTAGATGTTGTAATGTTTGCCCACTTGTCTAAAACTGATTTGCTGAAAGACAAGTAGATGGGCGCTAGACATAGTAGGATTCCTTCATACCGCCTGCACGTTCATTCAGTTCACTGTTGATGCAACCAGTTGGCAGAGACTTCTGCTTGGTCCTAGTCATCGTAGTCAGCTGCTATTTATTTCAAAACAGAATCAAAACAAACTTTTTGATTCAACATAGAACTTACTCCACTTAAGGCTACAATGCGGCCATAAAATTGTTTTTCTGCATCTTCAGACTCTTCAGAGGTTGTGTGAATGCATTTACACCACAGTTAGAAATGCATAAATAATTTAAGATGAATGGGTTTTAAATGGGCATTAATGGGTTTAAAAATGAATATTGAAGTAGCTGATTTGTTCAGAAACTAAGCAAATTACTGTCTTTATGAATGGTTCACTGAATCTTTGGTTCACTTGTTCTAAACCATGGATTCATTCAGTAATGAAACGGCTGTGTTTTTTGCTCAGAAAGGCACAACTGTTCTGTTGCGGCTTTGTTATAAATTATTTAGGAGCAAAAGCAAACAATATTGCATGTAAAATGTAATACAATATTAACTTACTGTTCATTGAAATGCTGTAAATGTTTTTAATCATAGGTATTCACACCAAATTAACATGGTATATATGCATATATAATTATATACATATATAATGTAAAATAATGATTATTATATAGCCCCAGTTATAATGGTTGCTTCGCCTGACACTGTATGCTATAAAACATTATCCTGGTCTGTCTTCACTGTAGGGTCCTAGAGGTGAGCGAGGACCTCCTGGTCTTCCTGGAACTCCAGTAAGTTTCTACTTTGCCAGTTATGCTCCAGATTGTTTCCTAAAAGGTCATTTCTGGCAGGATTTTCTTTTTAGCCCTCTTTTCTTAGAAACTGAGACAGAGTGACCCCAGATGGCTTTCAGAGTGCAGTCCATATCATATAGAGACAAACCAATGTTGAGCACTTCTTACAGAATTGCAGCAAACAGAGAACTGTTCTACATGACTTCATTTAGTCATTTAATCCCACAAATGCAGTGTGTGTTTGCACAATCTATTTTCTTTTAGGTTCAGTGTTTTCAGTTACAATAAACCAAGAAGGGAGAACGGTCAATTACCTTTTTGTTGTGAAGTTAGAGTGGCCCCTACAGGTTTGGCCCAGAATTGCAGAATGCTTTCCAAAATAGTCCCAAATCTGCGCCTAACCTAATTTCAACATGTAATTGAGGGTTAAGACTTTGTGTTCACTTGAACTTGTGTCACTTCTTCTTCTTTTTTGGAAAGAAATCAATGCTTTTTTATTTAATTTTCTTTTCACTTTTGATGTCATTTCAAAGGTGACTATAAAGACTTTTACACTCTTACATTGTTAAAAGAATCCCAAAAAGTTTGTTTGTTTGTGCTTGCATGTGTGTGTGTCTTGTGTTCCCACAGCATGAATTAATCATAAATATATTTATATATAAATATATATGAAGTTAAAATAAATATATACTTATTGTGTATATATATATATATATATATATATATATATAGCTGTGACATATTTGTATCAATTACTGCTCTGAACACAAAATGCAACAAACAGAACAAACCCACTGAAAGTTGATCGTGATCCACAAAGCATTGCGCAGTGTGGACCACACAAATAGTTTGTCTGTTCAATTCTGTCGAGTTGTATATTTTCATCTCACTTTACTAGTGAGTATTCAAGTATTCAAAAACTATAGTAAAACAGGCTGCATGACTATGAGAAATGAAGAGGAAAATTGGGATGCGTGTGCGAGGGTCTTCTTGACAGGATTGCTTTTATTTGTTTGTTTCTTGTTTTTGTCCATTATAAAGGAATATATTTCTAACTGTTGCTCTCTTATTATCATTCTTTTATAGGGCAATATTGGTTTCCCTGGTCCTCAAGGGCCTCCTGGATTGCCTGTAAGTCAAAGCATGCAAACTTACGATCAGCTCAGACAAACACAGAAGATGTTTAATTACCTCAGAAAACCAGCCCATTTTCTCTTGTGCGCCATAATGAATGCCATGACAGAGAAATAAAACCGTACTGCTGTGGTGCTTGTTCAATTATCTCTCCATAGCCATAGTGTATGTGCTGCTGACAGGTTATTTTGCAACGCCTTGAACGGCATGTTATAACAGAGGTTTGGGCTTACTGATGAATTGAGTCTGAGCCAGAATGGATTTTATTTTAATGTTGTCCAGCTTTATGCTTTGTGAGCTTTATCTGACTTCCTTTAATTTGCTTCAATCGAAACGGTTTGAAACAACAAACTCAGCGGTGTTGTTTTTTTGCTGTTTTTCTTTTTCTTTTCCTATTAGCATGGAAAAGCAGAAAATAAAGGTTTACAGTATGCCAATGTTTTCCAAAATGAAATTTTCTGTGGAATTGATCCGCTAATAGAATGCTATATAAATGAACCGCTGAGGAGAGTGTGCAGTCAGCAAGATTCAGGAAAATAAAAGAAAGACATTGCCAAAAGAGACAGCCAATAGAGGGATATAATTCTTTCTTCTAGCTTAAAGATGAAGCCAAATACTCTCTCTTCTATTTCCGTTTAATGTGCAGAGACAACTGTAAGTGAGCTATTATTAAGTTCCTGAAGAGTCTAAACACTGACAAATTCACAACTTTGTTTGTTGGACTGATCCGACATGTCAAAGTCTCACTCAACCAGTGATGTGAGTTTAGAATGGACTGCTTTCATTAATCATTCTTAAATTAAATTAAAGTTAAACCAGTGAGATCAAATCCACCTGCTAGGCATGGCAATACACTTAATGATTTAACATGCATGAAGCAGGTCTGAGACTTTCAATCCTGCTGCCGGCAACTCTTAAATTCATTATCATTGTTTATGCAGTTTTATTTTTCTCGGGGAAAGTCTTTATGACGTTGAAATCCATTTGTCCTTGACCTTGCTGAATAAAAAATCCTGACAAAACATTTTGTTTTCTTCGCACAGGGCACTAATTTATTTACAGTTATTCCTCAGTCGATTTTAAATAAGGCCAATGCATTTAGAAAAAATTTTGGAATGTGTAGCTCTCATGAAATCCAAAATGAGCCAATATTTGGCATGACATTTCAAAATGTCTCACTTTCAACATTTGATATGTTATCTATATATATTGTGAATAAAATATAAGTTTATGAGATTTGTAAATTATTCCATTCCTTTTTTACTCACAATTTGTACAGTGTCCCAACTTTTTTGGAATTGGGTTTGTAGAAGCTAGTTTCCCTTTTGTATTCTCTTTGTGAGTAATAACTCTCAGATCAAATCAAAAAGCTTCAAACATTTTGTAGATTGATTGTGGAAAAACTTAGGAGAATGCTGAATTTTTGTTCTTTTCTTTTAGTCTTTCTCACACAGATTCAACATTGTTCTCAAAAACTGACAATTTGTGATGTTAAAAAACATATTTCCCTGACTGGCAGGGTCCTAAAGGGGAAGCTGGAACAGCGGGACCTGTGGGACCAAAGGGAGATCAGGTATAAAAGCATGTTGCCGATATATTGCCAACAAAATGCTTCCCTTTAAAATATCTTTCTATATTTGTCATATCCCTTGATATCACATTCTCATGATACCTTATTCTTTGATATTACACTATGTAGAGTAAGATGTTCTGTTTGCATTTTCAAATTTACAAGCCCAAGATCTGAGAATATACCTGTTTTTCCTGGAAAATAAATATTTAAAAATGTTGTGTATTTACTCAATAAATTATGTGTTGTATCATCCTCATGTTGTTGCTGTGATCACAATTTACAGTGCGCATAATAACAGTTCTTGCGTCTTTTGTTTACAGGGCTTCCAAGGATCCCAAGGATTCCCAGGACAACCGGTGAGAGTTCAGTCATCATTTCCCTACCGTTTCACTCAAAAATGTCACATTATAGAAGTGAAATGGATTCCACACTGTAAACAATTTGGACTTTAATTCTGAAATAAACCTCATCTCTTTTCTCTTCATGTCTCCAGGGTCCTCCAGGTTTCTCGGGAAAAGCAGGTCCTCCGGGCCCTCCAGGACCACAAGCTGAGAAGGCAAGTGACAGTACTATAATGCCTGAACATGCATTGATAAATGAAATTATACAACCTAGTGACATCTGGAAATAAATCCTTACAGTATATGAGCAATGACATTTGATAAATGACTCATCATTTGCATTCATAGGCATTATCACTTATGGTCACTTTCACAAACAAGTGCTCTAACATACTCTTTAGTCATTAAATGGCTTGAATGTGGAGTGTAGATGCTTCTCTATCAAGCACTCACCCATACTTGATTTACTCCCTAAGGGTAGTGCTGGAGTTCAGGGCCCACAGGGACCCACAGGTCCCCCAGGATCAACCGGGGCCCCAGGCATGCCTGTGAGTCTCAGAATCCTATGGATAGACACCTTTTAAAGCAGACATTCAGCCTGTGTTGTCACCGTACACAATTAAAACTTTCACAAAGTAATTATATTGTTTTGCATTTTGTTTTTGTTTAAAGGGACCACCTGGAATGGAGGGACTTGATGGCAAAGATGGAAAGCCAGGTTTAAGGGTCAGAAAATAAAATAAATATTATAACCACACACACACACACTCACACATATATATATATATATATATATATACATATATATATATATATATACATATATATATATATATATATATATATATATATATATATATATATATATATATATATATATATATATATATATATATATATTCTATTTTATTTTCTGTTTTTATTATTTCTAACTGTGTTTTATTCTCACAATTGCACAGGGTGAACCAGGACTGCCTGGCTCTGCTGGACCCAGGGGAATGCCGGTATTAACCGTACCATATTTTCTTTCTTAGTTTTCACATTCCAAGCTCTTTGTAGATTTTATCAGTGACACATGAATAGCAAAATCAACATTTGGAACAAAGACTGAAACAAAGAAGAAAGTCAACTTTAATTAGGCATCTCCAAGGAGGAGCTTGACTTGACTTCTCTCTGATTGGAAAAGGCTTACTTGTATAACTGTTTCTCATTCCAGGGTTTCAAGGGCATCAAAGGACACACAGGTCTCCCAGGAATGAAAGTACGAGCCTTTTCTTTGAGTTGCATAGCCTTGTCATTATTTCTATTTGAAATGTGTAGTGCATAAATGAATAAAAAATTACTTCCCATTGATCCTGTCTTTAAAGCTGACGCCTGTAATGTTTTTGATGTTCAAATACATTCTCTTAATGAGCAAAGACAACTGCAGAAGTGTAAATATTGCATTTTCACATTGTTCTGTGTGTCTGAATGACCCTACATTCCAAGTTTGAGCTCAGTCTATGGCATAGGTTTGGAACGAGACAGTTTGCTAACCCAAACAATGGGAAAACTTTTTGGAAACAATCATTATATTTGCAAATCCATTTGGCATACAATGGTGCAGAAATTACACACAACAGCTTTTACTTCTACGCTAGTCTGTCTTTTTACATATCTCTTTCACTCTACATCATCCCTCTCTCTTCTTTATTGTTATCTGTAGGGAGATAGAGGACCTCAGGGACCTGCTGGAGCAGCGGGAAGGCCTGGTCTAGAGGTAAGCTGTCTTCTATTAGATATATTGCCACTGCATCTTTAAATGGGCTATAGATTCCCCTTCAAATGCTCTATAGATTTCAGATAATGAAAGAATGCACTGAAAATAACCCTTAGCACCCTTAGACCAGCAACATACCCCATGCAAGTAAGCAATCACAGATGCTAATGCTTGGCTAATGTATTGCAACAGCGTGATCCCATTGTACATATACCCAGTGTGTGTTGTCATGTTACTGTGGCAGTTACAAACCTCAGTACTCAAGGAAGAGGTAGAGTTGGCTCTTACATTTACATTTACATTTAGTCATTTAGCAGACGCTTTTATCCAAAGCGACTTACAATTGGGGGATACATAAAGCGATTCTTCTTAAAGAGGCAAACAGACACAGGAAGTGGTTGTAATACCAAGTTCTTAGACATTGTTCAAATAAGTACAAGCTAGAAAGAGAAGGAATAAATAAAGAGAGAGACATTTTTTATTTATTTATTTTCTGATGTTGTGCAATGCAAACCTGCAAGATCGAGCGGTCTTTGCAATGTGGTCTTTGAAAGTCAGCTGGTTATCAAAAGTTACACCAAGATTTCTGACCGAAGTTGATGGGGTAATTGTAGAAGAACTTAGCTGGATGGAAAAATCATACTGTAGAGATGAAGAGACATACTTATGGTTATAATATCTAATATATTCAGGACTATTCTCTTTAAACAGTTTCTCCATTAGTTAGAAGACAGTTAACACTTATGTCCATACTATAATATCACATGATGTCCCTTGCGGCAATGTTGAGAACTCATACTTGCATTGTGTTATAGATTGCAATCTGACACACACATCTTGATAAGTAAAAACTTTTATACTTGCATTCCAGGGTGATCCCGGTCCTCCTGGACCACAAGGACCACCTGGAGCGCCAGGACATGTTGTAAGTATTTAAAATATCTTATAATCTCCACTTTTCTCTAGTTTGTACATAAACATTATCGTTTAAATTTTTGGGGTTGGTATGATCAATATTATGCATTCATGCTGAATAAAAGTATTAATTTCTTTAAAACAAGAAATTTTACTGACCTCATTTTTGAATAGTAGTGTACAGATAAATCCCTCGAGAATGTGATAAATTAACAGTTCCACTGGAAATTTCTAGGGTGCTGCCGGATCTTCAGGGCCGCCGGGACCAGTTGGGCCACATGGAGTGGTGAGCAAAAGTCTTCTAAAACAGATAATATGTCAGTGATGTTTTTAATTGTTTGAATGCTTTACTGTGTCTTTACCAGGGCATTAAGGGAGACAAAGGTGAGGCAGGAGAGAGAGGCCAGCTTGGATTACCTGGCCCACCAGGGCTCCCAGGACATCCAGGGCTGATGGTCAGTACCTAAACTTAGTTGGTTTACCATAATATTTACCATACATTTTTAATAGCATTATTATTCTTTTAAACATTTTTGTCGCAGATTTATATGCATACATATATATATATATATATTTTTCCCCACACCATGGACGTCAGTGGGACCTGAAACCATCTGGTTATTAACTATTTCAAACTCTTCAAAATATATAAAAAATAAATAAATAAATAAATAAATAAAAGTAAAAAAATGTATATATATATATATATATATATATATATATATATACGTGTGTGTGTATATATTTTTTTTTCTGTTTTTTTTTCTGTAGGGTGAACCAGGGAGTGATGGAGCTGTGGGTAAAGACGTAAGTATCTCCTTTGATTTGCTTCACTATACAAATTTTATGCACAATATGCAACTTTGTGATAACAATTACACATAATTGTTGGATTAAGCCGTAATTCCACAGAATCTGTCACCACCTTAAGCTGAAAAAGTTTTTATTTGATTGATGGACATTTTAACACTTCCTCTGCCTTGTAACCAGAATTACTTTTATTTAAACATGCACAGATATAAATAAGTAATCAGTTACAGTGGGTTTTTTATTAGGTGTTCGTATGACACACAGTTCAGGTAAATCTTATTTATGGGTAAATCGGAATTCTAGAGACTGGAATTTTGGCTCATTTTAATTATATTTTCACGTTCATAATCAAAATACGACTAAATTCTGATTGATATAGGAATGTTTTTGTGCACATTATTACTGCAAAACTTGTACTATCTTTCCCAGTTTCACTCCTATAATTATTTGTAACCGCAGGGAGCCCCAGGCCTGCCAGGAGAACCTGGTCCATCGGGACCAAAGGTAAGATGCATTGTTTTCACATATCTGTTATAATGTCTTTGCACCATTGAACGTTGACATCTTTTCACATGCATTTGGATACATCTTATTCAGGCATAAGAGAGAGTTTTTCCCTCCCGTCTATGCATGCTCAACACATCCTGTTAGTTTTTACATTTGTCAGGTGGCTCCATCTGCAATCACTAGAGCATGTTATCTAACCTCACTTTGCCTTCACTCTTTTGTTTTTTCCTCCCTCATCTGCCACAGTAGCCTGTTTGAACACCACTCTCAGCTTACACAGTGACACCATTATGCTCCATAATAAAGCCATACAGGAGCCTCTATCTGTCACTGTGACAGGAGAGCATTGTCAGGTTTTTGAAGTTTAGGCGTGATTGAGATGAGAGCAGTGCTTTTCCCTCAACCCATTTGCAGAATGTCTGTATAGACTGCTACATGTGTTTACATTAGTGTTGGGAATGCTACTTGAAACTATGAAGTATTAAAACTATCCTACCTTACAAGCCATTAGCAAAAAGTAGCTTAACTACATTGAAGATATTTAGGGGGGCAGTGTTTTTAGATATGTAACTACTAGCATTAATTAGCATTTGAACCAATACAATTAGACAGCACCAACATTTATATAATTAAACTGAAAACATAATAATGAGGAGCATTAATTATCTAAATATATATCCACAAAAAAGTAGATATGAAATGCAAAGTAAGAAATCAAGATTTGTTTGTTTAGGCCATTTTCTAAATGAGCCATACATTTTAGTGAACAAAAGCTTGCTCAGCTGCAGTATAGAACTAAAGAACTAAAACCTTTTTAAGTATCTTGGTTAATTTAAATAAAAAAAAAAGTAATAAAAATAAAATATTAATATTAGATGGAACAAATTAATGTAAGAAATGTTAACTTGGCAACAAAATAAAATAAGTTTATAAGTAAGTACTAAAGTTACTAAAACTGAAATAAAAAAAAATAAAGTTATAGAAATATTAAAAAAAATGATAAAATGAAATAATAAAAATAAAAAACAACAAAATTAACTAAAACTTAAAGTAAAACTAAAATGAAAATATAAAAAAAACAAATTCAAAATAGTAAATACAGTAATATTATATTAATAATGTTAAATAACACTGCTTAGCTGCTTTCAGTTAAATACAGTACAATTAAAAAAAACAATAATAAAAAAACTATTGTGTTGAATGTCCATAAGTGTTTTTAGAATTTGTGTGCTATTCTTTGCAGGCCATTTAATAAATTCAGACAAAATTTCCATTAATTTGGGGCTAACAACAGTAAAAAATGTTTACTATTGTACAGTACGCATATTGTAAGTTTAAATAAGTTGACATGTGAATGTAAATGAGGCTGTAAGGGAACAGAAGTAAACCATGGCATATACAATACACTGTATTGTCACATCCACATCCATATATATATATATTTTTTTTTTTTTCTTTTTTTTTTTTCATTGTTTTCAAAGCAAAGCCAGGCTACAATACAAGCCATTAAAACTATCCCTCACCCATCTGCAGTCTACACTGACTAAGCTGCATTGATTAATCAATAGCTAATTTACAAAAAAATAGTTATAAAAACATACATAACCAGCAGAGGGCGTTTCAGGAAGTATAAAATCACAATTGAATGCAAACCAGAATGAAATTATAAGCCACAACTGTAGCGTTCATTGTATTCACACTTGTTGCCCTTCATTAAAAAAGTAGATGGGATGGACCTTGAATATTTTACTTTGTGGACTGTATAGTGCTGCGCATGCGTTTCTATATAAAGCCTATTATGCAGTGCTATTACAGGGATCATTGAGTAGCCCGCGGTCATTGTCCTAGAATCACCTGTGTGGTAAATCACAGCTGCTCCTTTGATCCTAGGGCGAAGCAGGGGCTGCAGGGCAAAGGGGACCCCCGGGAGAGCGAGGACGTCCTGGCCCACCAGGAGGAGGCTTTGGTTTTGGCTCCAAAGGACCAGAAGGGATCATAGGACCAGCTGGACCCCGTGGTGAGAGGGGAAATCCTGGTTCCCCTGGACCAGCTGGTGCCTCCGGACCACCAGGAATCCCAGGGAATGAAGTGAGGCTTTTTCAGTGATGGTACACTGCTAAAAAACCCTGGCTGAAAGAGTTTATTAACTGACAGAAACAGTTTCCCGCCTACAGTATCATATAGAACATCTACTTTAAGAATCAATGTTTGCTTTTTATTTTCCTTTTTCAACCACATTTTAAACATGAGAGTCGATGCAGTCATTTGTAAATTGGATGTACGAGGCTTACGTTGTCATCCGAGTTAGTTATAGCGGATGATGGATAAGATATCTTGCAGAATAGTAGATATGAGCATTTTAACTTCACATTGTAACTGTTTTTTTCTAGGCTGTTGTAAACTATGATGATTTAAGGTCCTTCATCAGGCAGCAGGTCATAAAGATCTTTGACGGTAAGAGAACTTTTGTAACCAGACATATCTGGAAGCACTGAAACTTTATTTCTAGATGGTTTATTTCACACAGAAAGTGTCTTAGGATGATTGAATTTCTTCCCCAGCCCTCCACAAAAGATATTGGTTACTTTTTGATACATCACAACAGTCTTTAAGGCACTTTAGTGTCTATTAAAGCAATATTCTGCGTTAAATACAAGTTAAAATACACGTAACAAGTTAAAATCAGTTTGTAAAAGAAAAAAAATTGTGGACAGTTTTGCACTTATAATGGTAGTCTATAGGGCAGGCGTACAATTTTTTTATTATTATTTATTTAGGTTGGTTTTCAAAGTTAATTTGTTCCTGCAGAGCGTATGGGCTACTACATGTCCCGAATGCAGATGCCTGTGGAGATGGTTGCGTCCCCTGGTCGACCAGGACCCCCAGGGAAAGATGGAAGTCCAGGCATCACAGGTCCCCCAGGGATACCGGGCCGCTCTGGGCAGATTGGCCGCGAAGGAAGGCAGGGACCCATGGGTCCACCCGGTAAGAGGAATTAATGTGCTAATGTTTCCTACAGCAGTCCAGAGTTCCACAAGGTTGCTTTCATATGTGTCCCCAGGTGCCCCTGGTGTAAGGGGAGAAAAAGGAGATAATGGTGTTGGAGAGATGGGAGACACTGGCCCTCCGGGTGCTCCAGGTCTGACTCCCAAGTTTTCAAAGCCAATTTTAAAGTGGAAGTCATTTTGCCAACTTTGTCATGTTTATTCTACTGTAATCTCTTTCTCATTCCTTCCGTTCCTCTCAGGTGTTCCTGGTCCTCCTGGTTACAGTAAGATGGGACCACCAGGTCCTTCTGGTCAGCAGGGCATCCCCGGTATTCCTGGTCCTCCAGGACCATCTGGACCAAAGGGCAAGGATGGTCGTTGTCATCCGTCCGACTGTATGAGTATGCCTGTGGGGTACAATCCCAAGGGCCCAGCTTCCAAAGGTCCCATGTACTAGAAAATGGTTTAAGAGAAATAAAAGATGGAGGATGGTACCCACTGATTCACAATCTCACAGTTACCTACCTGTACCTGCTAAGGCTTCTGAGAAGATCCATGGAGAACCAAAGGATTAATGTAATTTCCTTTCTGCATGATGCAATACCAAAACACTGGTTCACCACCAATGGGGACTTTTATAAGTTAGTGTCTGCTGATGAACCGGTGAAGAAAGGCTAAGCATTATTTAACACCACAACAATCAGTGCAACTTCCCAAACTTGAGTGCCTTAACCCCTGAATACTGTCCCATAATGCCATCATTTTTGAGTTTGTGTTTTACAATTATAGTAAATTGAAGACTTCTAGATCCCTGGACATATAAGGTGTTGACAGTCATTATAGGTACCCAGATTTATTCAGCGTTCAAGATTTTTAATTTCTTTACCAGGCAAAATATTTTGGTTTCCGATTGACATTTCACACCAGTCTTCAAGGTCCTTTATTAACTATTAAAGCAATATTCTGAGTTAACATGAAGCTGAGTTAACAGCATCCATGGCATGCTGTTGATTAATGCAGGAATTATTTTGACTCATACCTCATTTTGTGAAAATGTTGACAGTTTTGTACTTCTAATGGAATTCTATAGGGCAAGCGTTCAACATTATTGTTATATTTTTTTTTTCTTTTTTGAAAATTAAGGTATGAATCAAATTTTCTGCTGAAAATGCCACAGATGCTGTTGCTAGGGCTTGTATTGAATCTGTAATATTTCTTTAATAATATCTTTGTGAGGGGGTCATTTTGGCAGCTGCTAATTTTGTTATTTAACTGCTTTAGCAAAGACAATGTGGCATAAATATTTATCTGTTTCCAGTGAATAATTCCTTCCACAGTGTGAGCTGTTTAATATAAAATAGTTTGAGGTTATCATTAGGCATAGATACAGTTACCTAATTAATTATGTTTACTATTCAAAATGAACTTCCCCAAGGGCTTGTGTTGTACATATTCATATTTATATGTATTGGCTTTTTGTACTTTTTAAAAAAAATCATCAGCATGGCAGCCCTTTTTATGGTCGTCTCAGATATTTTGGAATAATTTTATAAGCTCTAAATAAATGGATGTTTTGTAAAGGTAAGTTTTATATGCAATTTTGGGTTAGAATGCAATTTTGTGATGTATCATGGGATGGAAAATAATTTTATTTTTATAAGAATATTTCAGTGGCACCTATTTCTCGAGCTCTGTGATGACATCTCCTCCTCTACCACTCTGGACTCTTAAACTTGAATTTACTTTGATATACTGTACCACTTGCAGCTGAACCATCATGTGCTTCTAGAACACTCTAATCTTAAATATGCTTTGCCAGTCATCCTAAACATCCAAACCCAACCTTCTCAGTTCAGTCATCTCTAAAGCAAACAGCATCTCTCTGATTCTCTGCTGCGTCAGCCAGTCTGATGCTTTTACACTCTGCACTTTATCCTCTCGTTGTCACTTCCTCGGTCTGTGTGTGTGTGTCTGTGAGTGTGTGAAGATAGCGAGAAAGACTCTGTATCTATATTGGGAGGATAGCTCAAAAGTTTTTTTTTTTTCAATTTATGCAGTTTTCATGAAGTGAACGTTACGAGCATGCCGATTTCAGATTGGCCTTTCAACCTTTTATTTATCCAAGTTTTAAAAAATCTCCCCCATCATCATGCATCTCATCATGTCGCTATTTGTAAGCAAAGTCATTTGTGTGCAATTTTTTTTCTTTAAAGAAACTTGAGAAGCAATAAATGTTTTGAAAGCAGAGTTCTCTATGGACTCATTCACTTGTCAGTCTCTAAACCTTCTCCATCAATTGCTCAGTTTGGCCAGGAGGCCAGCTCTAGGAAGAGTCCTGGTTGTTTTAAACTTCTTCCATTAAGGGCAACAGAGACTACATGCTTCTGTGAACCTTCAATGAAGCAGATTTTTTTCTGAAATCTTCCCCAGATGTGTGGCTTGATGCAAACCTGTTTCTGATCTCGACAGGCAGTTATTTTGACCTCAGGGCTTGGTTTTTGCTCTATGCATTATCAGCTGTTAGACCTTTAATTAAGACGTGTGTGCCTTTCCACATCATACCCATTCAATTGAATGTGCCACATGTTAACTTCACTTGAAGTGTAGTAATATCTACAAGCAAAACGAATGCTCCTGAGCTAAATTCCAACTGTCCCAGATAATGCATTGGAATCATTTTATTTATTTTTTATTTTTTAATACATTTGCAAAGATGTTAAAAACCTGTTTTTTTACTTGACAATTATGGTGCATGGAGTGTAGATTGTTGTGCAATCTACAATCTGCTTTAAAAAAATAATTTAAAGCAGTTTAACATAAGGCAGCAACAAAACAAAATGTGAAAAAAATGAAGGGGTATGAATACATTCTCAAGGCACTGTGTGTGTGTATATATATTCAGTTTGTAAGCATAGCAACAGTTTTTTATTCACAAAGGATGACTGAAATGTCTTGAAATACTTAGTATTGAGCCCAAGGATATAGAGTTTCCAGTTAAATTTTCAACACTTTGTAAATAACAGCATATATGATGGTGAGCAGGGCTGGATTGGTAATCGGGCATACCGTGCATTTTCCCGGTGAGCCGACGCACTTAAGGGGCCGACAGAATGTTTTTTTTTTTTGCCGAAACCATCACGCAGGGACAGCGAGCAGCCAGTGGCCCATTGGATTGTCTCCTGTATAGACAGCGTAAACATCCAATCACAATGAACTATAGATGGAGCGATGAAGTATTTTGCTCTGCCTATATAAAGATCGCCCTCGTCGGCTTTTTTCCCACGTTTTCACAGCAGATCTATCAAGAACAGGCTTGCTCTGCGGTGCGTGATGCTGGCCAAAGAGCAAGGCAGGAGGAGGAGAGGAGAGTAGTTGAACTGGTAAAGTGCTTGATAGAGACTCGCAACGGAGGCAGACATCTAACCTATCCTAATGTGTGTGCGCGGCTGCGCGCCATGAGTGTATGCGTAAACACTTTTTGATAAAAAGTAAATTCGTCCCCCGCGATTTTTTTGTCAAGTCAAGTGTGTTCATAGAGGTTTCAATGGGGCAATGCGAATAAAGCTAGATTTAAATAAAAAAAAATACACGATATTGTCGGACCTGGCGTTTTATTCTTATCCAAAACAAGATGTGATATGAGTGTGATACATAGGCCACATACATATGGAGGACCAAACCTGCAGAAATGTAAAATAAATAAATACACAAATAAATAAATAAATGTGTTTGTAAATAAATAAATACGCAAATAAATAAATAAATAATTAAACGTGTGATTAAATATAGGCAAATAAATAAAATAAATTGGTGGCCAAATGGAAAATGTTTAAGGAAATACTAAACTCATCCTAACTGTTTTCTTTTAATCACTCATTTATTTCTGAATGTAGTTCCGCATTTATTTTTCCTCTGCACAACATGCTAATGAGAGGGTGTCAACCATGGACTTGCTCGGGTCTTGTGATAGCTGGGGGCGTGGCTTTCCCGCTGACAGGAGATGCATGGTGTAAATCCAGTATAGCCTAGTAAAGTCACTTTTGCCGTTCAACAGAGCAAGATACATAGAACAAACTGAGCCGTATTGTCCGTACAGTATCTGTGACTTTACAAACGACCCAACGGAATGGCCAGAGGTGTCATTTCCCGGCACTCGATATTCGCAAATCTAGGGACCGTCTCTAAAGTTACATACGACATTGGTTTACACTTTTCTAACTTCAATAGCATTTGAGGAAAATTACTTGCAGTAACACGACCAACTGTGAAGTGTTCACGTAGTTCTCGGTTATAATGCACACCTTATAGATTTTTGATATTTATTAAAATAAACTGCAAATTCATATCTACACTGTAAAAAACTTCCTGTAGAAATTACAGTAACTAACTGGCAGCAGTTCGCTGTAAAAAAAAAGAGAGAGAGAGATGTAAATCAACTGTAGAGAACTGTAAATTAACAGTTAATTACTGACAGCAACCACAGCTGCCAGTATTCTACTGTTATTTTCAGGACGTCATGCCAATAAAGCAATATGAATTGAACAGAGTTTAAATGAATAATCGATTACTAAGCAATTTGATTAGATTATTATCTTTCTTTCTTTTTTTAGTTCGAATGCCATCAATGCAGGTGGTGGTTTCATGTGCCTTCCAATGACAGCCAGCCAGTTCAAGAGGGCTCAAAAGGTTGACTGGAAGTGCTGCCTATGTAAATAGTTTTAAATT